CATTACTTACGTTCTCCTGACACATGCAGGCTTGAAAAAACCTTTACTTCACCACCATTTTCTCTGACACTTTCTACCAGCTGTACATAACGTTGCCGCGTTGCCACAACTTGAGATCTGTTTTTGGAAAAATAACAGGTAAATGTTTGTGCACAATCTTTGAAGTTTTAATTATACAATTATTCTATAAAACTTCATTGATTAGTCAAAAGTGCATTACAAGATCACTATCAAGAAACAAGATATAGACATCTTATTAATTGATTTTTCATTCTTTGTCAAAAATTTCGTTAAATTTTATGTTTAATCATTATGTTTGCTTTGCCCACATTATGTATCATAAACTTGTGTTGGAAATAAATATAAATCCAAATCTAGAAGTGTTTGTCTCGTTTTAATAAAGCTACTGGGAATTAAATATCAGTTCATTAGAGTCACAGCTTCTACAGGATTGTAGTAAGGAGGACAACATAATAATGTGAAGTTACCTAACTGTCAATGTCTACCTACATAAATCCTGTATTACTCAGGTAGTTATATATGTACTTCTGTTTTAAATGAGAGCCCTATACAGTGACCTTACTATAGCTCACCTAAACAACTCATCAGATATAAGCAGTGTTTCTATAGCTTGTTGCTCATTGGCCATTTCAACATGCCTGATTCTGGAAAAAAAATACACAATTTCTCCTGTTAGAAAATAGTGAGCAAACTGATTTTTTTTCTAAATTACTTCTTTTGAAAGAAAGTAATTTTCATTCAATTTGCAAACATTAATTTATGGGAAAAATGATTACACAGTTTGAAAGGCATACTGACTTACCCATAAAAAGCCCTATTTGGATCATTCTGCAGCATCTGATAAAAGTCATCCAGAGCTTTGACTTCCCCCGAAGCCTTGGTGTCACTCAACCTACATGTTACTGCAGGGTCAGAGAGCACTTCTGAAAGAGCATTGAAAACAAAATCTATATAATTCAATCTATATACTTGAATAAACATTTTCCTGGTATAGGAATCATTTAAAAGAAAGGTATGAATGGTGATCTTACATCATGGAAGCAGGCAGCAAAAGAAGGTGCTCCCAATTATTTATTAAATAAATTGCAGTCCACAAATAAGTGTTCTTTTTGTCAGCCCTTGACAGTTCACAAATCCACCTGCTTTCTTCATAGTTTTTGTGACATCATGAGTGGACCAGAAACAGGGTAATTATTATACAATATTGTCTGAGCCATAAACCAAAATTAAGAGTCTGAATAAGTAGCCTGTTAGTCAGCAGCAAGTTTTAAAGAAACTACTACTGTATTCTACTTAGCTCACCTTTTAAAGCATGCTTATGTCCCGAGGATGAATGAACTGCCAGAAACTTGGACTTATTTTCCAATAAAATTTTTATGTCCAATTTTAGGGCTTGAGTAAACATATAATCTATAAATTGATCCTGAAATTAAAAAAATACATCATTATTAGTTTAATGCTATCAACTAGTGCTATTTAATGTTTGGCATTCTTAGACTTACACTTTAAACTGTAATGATTTTAATTATTAAAACAAAAAAGATTTGGATAAATGGACTTTAATGAATGAAATGGGTGACATATAATAGCATTGCCGTTAACTTAAATATCTAATAACAACAGTCTTTGGTTTAATTACCTTCAGAAATCCTGGACTAGCAATGAGTACACATTTGACCACTGAAGGAGAATATGGAAAATTTATAAAAAATATCTTTTAAAAGAAATTTTCACCAAATTAAAGAAAAACAGCAATGTTTATTAGCTGATAAACAAAATGTTTTATCAACTTTTACCTATCAATGAAGGGCTTCTTTATTTAGACAAGTAAAATACAATAACATTCAATCAGATTTTAACTATGGAGGAGAAGTGTACTTACCATCAAAATTTACATGCCTTTGAATAGCTTGGATGATCTGGTCATAAAATTTTGTTATACCCTGTAATGTAGATTTTATTTCAAACTTTGGCTTACAATACCAACAAGAATTCTAAGCATTAAGGAAATGGCTAAAAAAATCAAATGTTTAATGATGTATAATTAAAACTAATTCACTGTCCCAAGAATAGAATAAAAATAAAATATGTACGATTGGAAAAAAATTAGTCCTAAAAATAGAAAAAAAAATCATAAAACTATATTGCATAAAAACTGAGGCTCAGTCTGAGAGAAAAGATGGAAAAAGCAGATGGATAGGAAAGAGGTGACAATTCACTGATTTAACTGCTGTTTATCTCACTCTTATTTCAGACGTGCTGAAAACTTTTCAGAATGGCCAGACATTTGGACCGGCAATAATGAAATATTTGCCGGACCGAATGGATTTTTGTCGGACCAAAAATCACCCTATTTTTTGAGACAGATACTACCAGTACGATTAGGGTAGCTTACTTTGTTTGTGAATGTGATAGGTTTGAAATGGAATGGAAAAAACGCTTTGGGTTTTATATAATTTTATTAGTGAAGTATGTCGAATGATGACTGTAAATTCAAAATTGCGACTCTTAAAACTCTTGTTGATCCTTTGGACTGACCAAGTCTAATTTTTTACCGGTCCAGACAAATTTTTTCTGGTCATGACCGATCGGACCAACAGTTTCAGCAAGTCTTCATTTTACTACAAATTCTTCGACCTTACAAACCACATACCTTGTCATGTTGTCCACACATCCCTTTCCTTTTCCTGGGAATAGAGGTTTCTATTTTAGCCCTGACCAGGGTCATTGCACTAGTGACCAGACAGATGTGAGCCAGCCCTTCCTGCATCACAACTGCTGCCAAGTCAGCATGCTGTGTGGGATCACAGGCCATTTCTTTGAATTAAAAAAATATGTACAGTACACTATCTTTGATTAATATGATTAATATGATTTCTAGACTAAAAAATTAAAAATCAAAATTCATGTTAAAATGTTGTGTATATAAACATGTTTTACATAAAATTTTTTAGAAATTTCATAATGTAACATTTAAACATTCAAAATTTTCTGAACACAATGCTCTACCCAAAGATTCCTCTAACACATAAACATTTTTCATCTGTAAATTAAGCAGTTCGTGGGGTCCTAGTGAATACATAAAATATATATTTACTGCACATATTCATATTTCTTATAAACCTACCTATTCGTTCTAAGGCAACTATGTCCCAGTAGTGCTTGGCAAGTTGAAATTTGCGATTCATTTCAAGATCTAAGGTATGGTAGGCACCCATCTGAAAAACAATAATAACAATAATAATCCAATTCAAATGGATACAGGCTGCACAATACTTTCATATTATTTACCATGAAAGATTGTTCCTATGTTTCTATTAGTTTGGTTACTTTTGATCAGCTGAGTTCAAAAGCCAAGGGCCAGTCATCACCATTAGCCTTCATAATCTACCTTAACATACTGGTTTTCCTGTATATTTCTCCCCTTTACTCTAAGTACACAGGCCTGAGTATCAAAGTCTATATTCTCCACACTGATGGTCAGTGTTGTTCGCACTTTGTTTGACGCTACACTCCCTGTGGCAGATTCTGTTTGTACTTTTCTGTAAAAAAAAATATGAAGAAAATTTTTCAAGTACTGTGCCAAAATATGTATAGTTCTAAAGGCATTGACTGATGGGTTGTAGGTCTAAATTAATGGGTGAATCAAACTACTTACTGTCAACAAAGAGATATGCAACTAATCAAACAGGATCTATATTAATCATATGTTAAGTGAACATGTATTAATGATATTTTCAGGTTTCTACATTTACACAATTAATAAGGTGTGTGTCAATTGTCAGTTTATCATTTCAGCCTACTGGTCACTTGAGCCACCTGGCTGCAAGAATTTTTTGTTCAAAACAGAAACAGTGGTCAGGAACTGAACAATTATTTAATATATTTTAATATATACTGGCCTTGGTTCAATTTTACTGAGATTTGGCATGGAGCCAGTATTAATGTCACAAGCTGTCTGTTACGGAGGGTGTGTTACTGTACTCTGTTACAAGTACCTGATTGTTGTTGATCTCACAGTATCACCAATAGATACCAAATTGTATGCATGCCACATATCTTCTGCTTCTTCTGGAATCAGGGTCACAGACCTGCAAGTGTTTGAAAGGAGATTTATATAATACATATGATCTAATTTTGTTCATTCATGCAACTGCGAGCATCATTTTAAACTTTTAATCATACCTTTACAAAATAGTGTTTATTATCAAACATAAGATATGTTATGTCTGTTACTTGTGTCATATAAAATTAAACTAGAGGATCAGAGAGGCGATACCGCCTCCGAATATTGTACCACCAGCTGGAGCAAGCGCATTCGTATAGACCCCCACATACACAAAATAAGGGACACAGCCACCAGTTTTGTGCTTGACAAGCTGTAAAAATGCAATCAACAAGAATTTTTAAACTATTGCAAAAAATATATATGGTACAATCAAATTTAAGTTCTTCGTAAGGTAGGTCAAGGGTCAATTTCAAGGTCACAGTAAATTGCCAGTATATGACTTCCTATTCAAGTTCAANATTTTTCCCATAACTCCTTCCGTAGGGTAGATAATTAGCATTTAATTTTGCCATTTTTAGACAAGGGTGCATTACAATGAGTGCCACACCCAGACCCCAATACCGACAAAGCCCAAATTTTACGTGGAACGAGTTGAGATTATAGGTGACCTAAATCCATGAGATGGGTACGGGGGCCCTTACCGTCTAGGAGGAGAAGCGGTAACGGTAGCCGTCCGGCGGAGCCAACGGAGCCGGCGGAGCCGGCGGAACGATCCAGACGGGACCGAAACCATGTGTACCGCCAGCGCTAACGCTGGTGGTACAATAACTGTTAGTAAAATACTGGTTGACCATTGTTGATTGCACAATGATGATGCAACAAACATGATCATATCAACCAACACGAAATATTCTTGATCAATATCAATTTCTTCTAATCTAAATCCACAATTATTGAGATTTCCTTACCACAGTAACATACCAAAGATATAAATCGCTTAAATTAATGTTTTACCACATAAAACAACGGATGCTTTACTAAAATAAATCATAGTTGTATTATTATAATCAAAACAACTTTCTTGACAATGAATGGTAAAAGGGCCAGCCAGTAGGTGGATTCCCTTGCGTTTAACTTACCCTTGGCCAGATTTATCAATATCCCTTGCGACCAGCTTCATGATTGTGTTACCCAGCGCTCAAACAAAACATTGTGTTGAAAAAGTCTGTTATAAAATGATAATATAATATGGTATGTCAGTGTAGCATCTTGCGTGTCCTTCTCAGTCAGGCGGGAAGCCAGGCAAAACTAAAGAGGGCGTTGATCCAAGACAGACTTATTACTTTCAGCAGCTCTTGTTGTTCGAAACTATGTGCAAAATCGGGAAGCCGCTTTATTTCGAGGTGTCACGTGACTCGAGAGGTGTTCCTGGTAAAGTGATTGGAATATTTTGATGTGTTGATGATGTTATAATTAGGTAGGTACGATGGCGATCACATTGAAAAGTAAATCAGGTGACATTCCATACTTTGGGATGACCCTTCCTTTATATTATCTGTTAGATTGTTTGTTTATAACTGCAAAGTTTACAAACAGGGCGGGCCGTAAGCAGGCCATGTCAACATTGGCAACGAAGTCGAAGACGGTCTCGGTTAAACTAAGTTAATTAAAGCCAAAAGAAAGTAAGTTTTCACTTTCGTTCGGAATCGATCGCTTTGAAAATTTATCTGACGTAATATATGGTCATCTTATAATTTAAATCAACCCCCATGATCGTCGATTTTGTGATATGTGGAATACCACATGATGGTGAACGGTTAGTACTGATTGATGTTAACATGCCTGTCCTTAGTTCAAATAATATTAAAAGCTCAGCTTTCATATTTACATGTTTTATGTGGTATTAAAAATAGAAAGGTGTGCTAGAGGAAGAGCATCCGACTAGCCTACCCATTATTATTTATTAGATAGGTCTGGTGATAAACAATGAATGAAAAACATGTGTTGAGTTATATGTTTGTTCAGTAAAGTTTAGTTCTAAAATATTTAATGAAGTGATGAATTAATTAAATAGGGTATTTTAAAAAATGGGGGTGGGATGAGAATGATTTAAATGTTATACACACGCAATACGTGTTTATGCAAATAGCCAGTTTCACATAATTTGGCATTTGTGCAAACCTGTGTATCTATACCAAACAGATAATCAGCAAAGGTTCTTATTCTGCTGATTTATTGAAATATTTTATTTCTGTCTTCTGTCTGTCTAGTGATAAGGTCTAATTATTTAGCTGTTTGTATTAACACATTTTGTGCATTGAAATAACGCGCAATTGATATTGTAGACTTATTTAGAGAAAATAAAACAGACTAAATGAACACAACCACAGACTGACACAAGAATTAAGTTGATCCATTTCCCTAGATTAGTATGATACATTTCCTGGCATAATTGTGATCACATAAATATATGCAACATCAGAAACCTTCAACAGATAATGATTAATCAGCCCTATATAGTGCAATGTGAGGATAAGATATTCTTGACACCTTATTTATTTAAACTATTTCTTTTTAGTCTGTTCAATTTGATAGACAGAATAAGTAGTTAATCACTATTAAAAGTGTTACCCAGTGCCTTTTTTGATAAGATTTGTTAAAACTTGATTCACTCTTGAGTCAGATTTTAAATGGAATTTTACATGCAAAATAAACTTTGGAATGCATGATAAAAAAGAGGACTAATATAATATATATCAGTTACAGTGTTTAAAGAATAGATGCTGTAGATTAATAATGTAAAAACTGGTTGATCTTGCAGGTGTTGGTGGGTTCCTAAGATTCCAATCACAGAATGAAGTAAAAAGCAGCCATGAGTAAGTACACAAAGGGTCATACTAGTAGATAAAAGATGGTCACTATATTGTTATAGATAAAGGATAGTCACTGTATTGATTGATGTAATAATTTTAAATCTATGATTATGATTAATACTTATGGCAGTACTAGTGTTCTTTCTATAACAGAGAATTTGGTATTTATTGTTGAAAGATTCTAGACTTATTTTATCTAATGTTGGTTGATTCAGTGTCATCTAAAAAAAAGAAAGCAGATCACCAACTAGCCATAAATCAGATACACATAGAATTATACCCCAAATAATTGTTACTTTGGTCATTTATTGTACATTTGCCAGTCAATATCAGCTGAGCACTATACTCTGTCCCATTAGCAAAAAAGTTATCAGTATCAGTGAAGAACCGTTAAATGTTATCTTAGACTCGAGTGGTGTATTGCATTAAATTGCCCACATTTTATCTAACATTGGCCTGTCAAGATGGCACAGATATTGGGTGGAGACCCATTACACGAGTTATGATGTGCAATGATTCAGTGTGGAGAATGATATAATATACAGTGATTCAATATGAAGACAGATAAAATGTATAGAGATTCATAGCTTTTGCTGAGATTGTGATGAGCATTATAAATATGTTATTTAATTAATATATCATGATTGGCCAAATTGTAACTTTGTCTCTTTTTCCAACTTGCAGCAGATTTAAATGAATATGAACTGCTCAAGAGGGCCGAGAAGGAAAGGGCAGAGATTGTGGCCAAGTATGACAAGGTAAGACATGAAATTCAGTAAAAAAAAAAAGCAGGTGCAACTGGTTGATGGATGGAAAATGAGTGACTACTATGAGGGTTATTTAATTTATAGTAAACATGTCTTTTAAACATGTGAGGGTTATTATCATTAATTACACGTTTAGAAATGATAAGTTTGTGAAACCTAGTGATGGAATTATTGGACTCAAACTGCAGTTTGTAAGACAGGTGGGCAATATGAAATTTACTTGAAATACTAGTAGGTATTTTATTGTCTCGTGTATTGTTTATAAAAATAATTCAAATAATTTAATTGAGTCAGTCATGTGATCGAGACTCTTTCGTGAAGAGTGTTTTTAGAATAAAATGTTTTTTATCAATGTCAGAGTAGGTTTTAAGCATCTTTGTGATTTCATCATCTCTTGGACCTTTATTACTTTGTCACTGTTTACAGCCAATTTTAGAAGCTGATGATACACTCTGCACTTTTCGTCATTGATTGTGAGAAGGAGAGGGGTAGAAATTGATTTTTTTGTTAAAGGAAATGCATGTTTGGTAATCAAGTCTAAAATTAGACATCTAGGCTCAAAAAATGAAGTCTCTGGACAGCTGGCATATAACCTTTTTCACTTAATTAGATTTCTTCTCAAGTAGCAATTTCAGATTATACACAGAAGAGAAACGATATCTTATATTCGAATTGTGAATGCCTTTCTCACCCAGACCAATATAGACTAAAAGCAATCAGAATCTAAAAAAGGCTCTGATAAAACCTAACCATTGGAGCACCATACTTGTTATTTGGCAAAACGTGAGGGTTGTATGCATGTTAAGTACAGATTTTATCACATAAATGTGTGATGTTATGAACAATTGTAGCATATTAATTAATTGTGTATAATTGTGTATATTTATGTACCTCTGTGTATAAAACATCTGTTTTTTTAGTCCATAGATTGTTATATTGATATTGTACATGAGGCAAATTAAAGGATACACATACAGTACATCTTTTTTTGGCAAACTTATATGTCATAACGAACAGGAAATTGTCACTGCATGATGCTCTCTGTATTTACTGTATTTACTTATTGAAGACTGAATACAAGACCTACCTACTAGTAATTTATTCATGCTCCAAAGGAATTATTTCCAAAATAGTTTTTACTTTT